CCAGGACTATTCAGCTTTGGGGTATGGGGGAATATAATTATCCTTCCTGTTGTATCCTGCAGCACCCCCAGTGCCTGTCAGCTGTTGGTTGGCTCATATCACTTTCAAAGCCAGGTCTCCCAGTTGCAAATGATTTCAAAACCTGGAAGTAAAGAGACAAAGACCAGTTTGAAAGAAATGGCTACTCTTACTGGTCAAAGTGGCATATCTTTGGAGGACTCTGCCCAGGGACTGCTAACTACAGGGATCAACTGACTATATTGATAGTTGGTCAATGTGCTTCATACTAAAATCTACTATTTTAGTATTTTAACATAAGAACAATTAAGGTTGATTTAGGTCTACTCCAAGTATGGGTGGTAGATCATGAAGACAAGGCAGAAAAAAGGAGCCATTGTTTGTGCTAAAAGAAGATCAAAAGCTGCTATATAAAATCTCACAATATCTCCAAAAGCAAAGAAAGCTTTTGAAAATTAAAAAAAAACTTCAAAAATATCCAGGATATCTAGAGAAAGTCAGGAGAAAATTGAAATATACAGATTTGGAAGAAACAGTGTTCTAGTACCTCAAACCAGAGTGTCATGTGGGGCACATCTTCAGGTGTTTTCATCCATCTGGAGTTCCAGGATGGTTGGCCTTGACTGAAGGTAAACAACTCCATTCAGCAATGCAGTAATTCATGAGAGTAAACCTCCCTTTTTATTCACATGGGCCGTATTCACATCAGTTCTCATCCCAAACCCCAATGTCATGCCCCCCCTCCCCGTTACTATGGCAGCCTGTAGCAAGCAAGCATCAAAGGGAAAACCCATGCTGGAGATCCGGCTGACATCTAACCGTGATTTTTTAAATATCATATGATGGAAAACACATTTAATTTAGTTGAAACATTTAATATCTTCATGCATATATAGAAATAATTATAACCGAAATTTGATATAAACATTTCCAAAGCATGAAAATGTTTCCCCTTATTAAACCTAAAGTTTGTATTGAATATACATATAAGAAACATATTATAGTACTTTATCTTTTGATCTCTATGATATAATTGTGATTCTTTCCTCACTGGTAACTTATATAAGATTCAACCATCATTGTACCCATAAGCCGTCAATTTAACAGATCTTGACTTTCATGGTATGTTCTACACATGTGTAAAATTCCATTCATCACCATATGCATGTGCAAAATTCTATTTGTCATTTTATGCATGCATAAATTACATAAAATTGCATACATTTGGCTAGTCTGCCATTTCTTTTGTAAAAATTGTGTTGCTCATGAAATAATCTTCTATACTGAGTGTTGGCAACCTGCAGCCCTAGAGCCACATGCCGCTCTTTTGTCCCCCTGCTGTGGCTCCCTGCTGGCTTGCTGGCCCCGCCCTTTGCCCTCTCCTCCCAGTCACTCCTCATGTAGCCTGAGAAGGTAAGGGTGATGGCAGGGATGGTCCAAATGAGAGAGAAGCACCCCTATACTTGCCTCTCATCTCGCTGGCGCTTCTTCCAATGCTTCTTAGTTCTGTGCACACTTCGGTTGCTTGGGGAGACATGCAAGTTGCTCTCTGCCCCGAGATGCTGGCCTCGGCCAGCTGTGGCTGATGCTCCATGTTGTAATGGGCTTCAGGAGGAGGAAGGGACGCCATTTACAATGCAGAGCATCAGCAGCAGCCATCCTGGGCCAGTATCTTGGGGCAGAGAGAAAATTGCACATCTCCCCAAGCAACCGAGGTGCATGCAGCACTAAGAAGTGCCGGAAGAAGCCTCCGCGAGATGAGAGGCAAGTACCAGGGTGCTTCCCTCTCATTTGGAGCGAGTCTCCATCCCCATCGTCACCCTTACCTTCTCAGACTACACAAGGAGTGACTGGGAGGGGAGGGCAAGGGGTGGGGCCAGCCAGCCAACAGGGAGCTACAGCAGGGGGACAAAAGAACTTCGTTTATCTGGGAACCTGAAATGACTCTTGATTTAAATCATACAGTAAAAAGCACCCAAAGAAGAAGAAAGAACATCAGCAAAAAAAACCCACCCAACCCTCGCCTTCTTTTTGGAAATGGTTCAAGAGAGAGCACACACACACACGAGAGAGGGGGGGAAGAGAGAGAGAGAGAGAAAGAGATGAGAGAGAGAAAATGGGAGAAAAAGAAAGAGAGAAATGAGAAAATGAGGGAGGGAGGGAATGAAAGAGAGGGAAAAGAGGTAAACAGAGAGAGAAGGGGAAAAGAAAGGAAGGAAGGAAGGAAGGAAGGAAGGAAGGAAGGAAGGAAGGAAGGAAGGAAGGAAGGAAGGAAGGAAGGAAAAGAGAGAAATGAGAGAGAGAAAGGGAGAGAGAAAGAGAGAAATGAGAAAAGGATGGAGGGAGGGAATGAAAAAGAGAGAAACAAATGAGAGAGAAAAGGGAGAGAGAAAGGAAGGAAGGAAGAAAGAAAGGAAGGAAAGAAAGAAAGAAAGTAAGTAAGTGGGAGAAAGGGAGAAGAAAAAGAGAAAAACAAATGAAAGGGAGAGAGAGAGAAATGAGAGACAGAAAAGGGGAGAGAAAGAGAAATGAGAAAATGATGGAGGGAGAGTATGAGAGAGAGGAAAAAAGAGAAACATGAGGGAGAGAAGGGAGAGGGAGAGAGAAATGAGAGAGAGTTGGAGGGAGAGAATGAGAGAGAGGGAAAAGAGGGAAACAAATGAGAGAGAAGGGGAGAGAAAGAAAGGAAAGAAAGAAAGAGGAAGGGAGACGGAGAGGAAAAAGAGAAAAACAGAAGAGAGAGCGGGGGTGGGGGGAGAGAGAGAGATCCATTTCCCACAGAAAACACCCGGAACCACAAAACCTGGGTAGGCATGGCTGGGGCAGGTCATGTGACTGGATGGGAGTGACATTGAGTTTGCCACGCCCACCCAGGTCCAAATGGCTCTGAGTATTTAAGGTTGTAGACCCCTGTTCGATACTGATATTTTATTGCTAGATCAGGAACTATATCTGCAGATTACATACAGTATATACTGATATGAATACTTCAGTGTATAGGGTATAAATGCATTGCTCCAGCTACAAGGCCTGCACACACTTGCACTACAGTTTAAAACACTCCCTAAAATCAACTTTCAGTTTGAATAGTAGTGCTCCTCTGGAACTGTGAAGTATTTAGAGACATCTATTGGTTAAAGCAAGTATTACATGAATTTCTCATAGCAATGGATAAAAGACAGGTAGATCTTACATTTTTTTGATGGAAAATCAAAAATCAAAAATACAGAAAGTTTCATCATGTTAAAATTGAAGGTTGATAACTTGGCCTGTGATTCTGGTATCTTTGCAGTCTGAACTCCAATAGCCTAACAATTCTATCAATGCTTAAGTAACAAGAGGCATTTCCATCAATGTTAATGAGAAAGGTGCTAGATGAAAAGCAGACTCACTTCACAAATTTATATAATTACATATAATTTCATATCTTAATTTCATCATTTTGTAATGACAATATTTCTATTTTCAAAGCATTACTTGGGAATTTATTGCAATTACCATACTTTTCGGAGTATAAGACGCACTTCCCCCCCCCCAAGTGGGTGAAAATTGTGGTGCATCTTATACACCGAATGTTGCCAAAACCCTGCCCACATGCCAGCCCCCACCCTTCAGTCATTTTCAGCCTCCACATGTCCCATTTTAGACCCGTTCCAGGCTATGGGGATTGCCACAGCACATCACCGCCAATCACCGCCTCCACACGATGCATTTTTGACCTCCGCACGCCCCATTTTTGGCCTCTATGCATCACATTTTTGGCCGGTTCCAGGGGGCAGGGATCGGTGGCGGCGGCAATCCTTGCAGCCTGGAACCAGCTGAAAATGCGACACGTGGAGGTCAAAAATGGGGCATGCGGAGGCTGAAAATGTGATGCTTGGAGATCGAAAACATGATGCATAGATATAGAGCAGGATATAAATTGAATAACAATGCAGTGGCTCAGTGGCTAAGACGGTGAGCTTGTTGATTGAAAGGTCGGCAGTTCAGCGGTTTGAATCCCTAGTGCCACGTAACGGGGTGAGCTCCCGCTACTTATCCCAGCTTCTGCCAACCTAGCAGTTTGAAAGCACATAAAAAATGCAAGTAGAAAAATAGGGACCACCTTTGGTGGGAAGGTAACAGCATTCCATGCGCCTTTTGGATTTAGTCATGCTGGCTACATGATTACGGAGATGTCTTCGGACAGTGGTGGCTCTTCAGCTTTGAAATGGAGATGAGCACCGCCCCCTAGAGTCGGGAACAACTAGCACATATGTGCGAGGAGAATCTTTATAAATTGAATAAATCAATCAATAAATTTTGATATGATCAAGAATAAAAAGGTAAAAGCCCCTTTCTTGTGTTCAAATCTATATACCACCAAGTTTGCCCATATGCTTTTTATTAAATCTTTTCTCAAGTTACAAGAAGGGTACGGTTATATCAGTGGTGGGTTGCTACTGGTTTGCGAACCAGTAGCTGCGGCAGCGGGACACTCTGCCCACCCACCTGGACGCTTCTGTGCCCACAAGCAAACCGGTAGCAACAGGTTTTGAAACCCACCCCTGGGTTATATGTCTGAGTCCAGACTCAGAATTAGACACTATTACTTTCCAAATCTTTTTTTCAAGTCCATATCCAGTAACCCTAAAAGAAAAGCTTCAGGTTTAAATTTTATCATAACCGTAACATGGATCTGACCCCAGAGATGATACAAAGTATCTTCCTTAGAATTACATTCCCAACAGACATTTGAAACATCTTTGTACATCAAATTATCTTTATCTGGTGTTAGATAACAATATATCATTTCATAAACATTTTCTTTCAAATTATAATTCAATGTAAACATCTAACCACATATTTTCCCATTGCTTAAACATTATATTATATCCAAGGTTCCTTGCCCACTGAATCATATACTGTTTCACGTATTCATTTTCCAGATTCAATTCAGCAACATTTTATATACCCCAGCAATAACATGATCACCATTAACATATAATACAATTTCAAGTTTATTTTGTACAGATGCAAATCCATAGTTTTTCTTGCCTAACTTAAAATCCGAAAACCCGAAACCCTGTTGTATACGTTACAATAGTCAAGAGACAGGGAGCTAATAGCTACAAAACTGCAAACGTCAGAAGGATATGGACAACCTTAAAGTATATTTTGGGAATAAACATGGCACATACAGAATTAGAATAGTATCACTGCTTGTGAATTAAATATTTTTAATTCTTCATTTTACAACAGTATTGTTTCTGATAAAGGGATTTAAATGGACTATATATCATTTTAACTCATGCTGTATTAGTCAGCAAATGCAGAGTGAACATGAAATGGTGGTAAGGGAATATCTTTGCTCTCCTCAATAAACCTGCTGTCCTGAGGTAGCCCATATTGTTTTCAGTGCAGTTTCTATTTCAAAGATTAACCATGGAAGCTTGTGGCCCATTTTCTCTTTTGCCTCATGCAAAGAATACTTGGATTAGGCAGATAAAATGTGCCGAGGTTCAAAGTCTGTCCTTTAAGTGTTTCATTACCTTTCTTAGTGTGTGTACGTATGCTCAAGTACTTTGGTTTGTGTAGGAATATTTATTGGAATTAAAACTTGATTTTACAATTAATACTATGTCATTTCAGTGAAATTCACAGTGGAATCTGAAATACTGTGAGTTTAATAGTTGTTTCCTTTGCAGTGTGGGAAGCCCCCTGCCCGAAAAATGAAATATTTTATGGAATATTAAAAGAAGCAGAATATTATATTTCCCCAAAGTGAGTGTAGGAAGAAATATCCATCTGGTTCAGTTCCAAGTAGGGAGAACGACACTGGAAACATGGAGGCTGATTGGAAAAATGATTTATTGGAGAGCAGGACCACATGGGTTTGAGGTCCTGGGCAGCTGAACACATGGTGGAGAGAGAAAGAGAGAGGTATTTATATTCTCTCTTGGGCCTTGCCCTTGAGCTTCCTGTTCCTGTGCAAGAAATATATTCTATAGGTTGTCAGACTCACAGGAGGCTATGCAGGGGTCATAGTTGAGGTTGTCTGAGATAAGTTTGGTTGAATCTTGCTGGGTAATGCAATCAAGGGGCTTGGTTGTGCCATGTGGTGAGTTCTGCTGATAGATAATCCTATTATGTCCTGGAAGGTCATGTCTTAATCCCATCACCCTGGAGCTGAAGGTCTAATTGTCTTGTAGATAGGCTGGCCCAGTCCTGCTCAATGGGCACCAAATATCTGCTGGGGGCAGGGAGCTGCAGGGAGCTGCTCTTTGTCTTTAAAAACATGTTTCTCCTTTTCTCATCCAGGGAAATATAATATTCTGCCTTTTTAATATTTACTAGAATATTTCATTCTTCTAGGAGGGAGTGGGTGCTAACTTTCTACAGAAGAAATGGAGAAACATGCTGTTAAAGACAGAAAGCAGACTCAGTCTTAATAGCCCACAGCAGATATTTTGGGCCCATTAAGAAAGTCTGAGCCAATCTATTCATAAACTCCTTTAGAAATTAAGATGGGATTAAGAAAGAACAGGACATGATCTTAACTCCATTCATTAAGAAAAGTGGAAACAGTACTGGTCCATTTCAAAAGGCAGGCTAGAGGCAATAGATAACAGGATAAAATCAATTACACATGCCTGCCAGGATTAGGACTAAGGAACTAATAATTAAGACCCATCATGAGCCTTTGCGAAGCAAGTAAAACCAATCAAATAATAAATCACACAAAGCAAGCCCCTAGATTACAAAATGCTGTAAAAACTATATAAAAATCCATGTAGAAACCAAACCAATTGGTCAGCTGACCCAGAACTGTGTTTGTGTTGGTTCTGTTCACCAATAAACAGAAACTTTCTTTCCAATCAGCCTCCATGTTATTTCCAATGTCTTTCTCCCAGCTTGGAACTGAACCAGATGGATTCTCCTTCCTACAGCAGTAAATATAATAGTTGAAATGTTGTTATTGATTGTATGAATAACACTTGTACTCATTGCTTTTATAAACAGTTATTCTTTGCCATATTTTTGTCTTTTCTCCTGAGCAGGTTTGGTGCATTTATGCAAAGTGAAATGAAGAATTAAAAATATTAATAGTATGTCATATGACTTTCCTGCCTACTCATGGCTCAAATGAAATTGTATCTGTCCCTCAGATAAAGCTGGCAGTGATCCCAAACACGCAAGTAATTGACAAGAAAATAGGTGAAGAACAAATTCAATTTGTTCAACAGCAACACCAAAGATTAGAAAATTTTAATAAGATAATTATTTAAATTGAAAAAACATTTTAGCATAATTAAGAAGGCCAAGCAAAGAATGTTTGCTCTTGGATTTAAGATACTATTTTTATTGTATTCTGAGAATGATCATATTAACAGTAATGTCAGGGTTCTGACTAATGCCCTAATTAAATCATGAGCCTCAGGCCAAGCTTCAAAGGAAACCCTGATTTATTAGGAACTTCATGTCGGCACAGACCAAATGGAGCCAACTCTGATCTCACTTAATTAGCACTTTGCCTCTGACCCTGTTTCCCCCTCCCCCAAGAGGTGTCATCAGTCACATTCTCCAACGAAGCAATTCCGCGGGTTGTAAAAGTCACTCCCTCCAGCCACTGTGGGTTCCCGTGGAGATGATCTTGACATCGCCAGCTGGAATGTGCTTTGTTTTGACTGAAATGCAAGTTCCTTGATGCAGCTGCGAGGTTCAATTCCCCATCCCGCTTGCCTATGGCAACTCGAGAGCAGGTCAGGGATGCTTCGCGAGTTGACATTCAGCTGCCCTCACTTCCTGAAGGGGACCTGGGCAAAGCAAAGACAGTTTGAGTATAGGTATAGATTTTAGGGGTGCAACAACCCCCCAGGCTTGTTTGGGTTGTCTATGTGGAATTTAGCTATGAGGCAGTCAACTTGGATGTTTCTGCTCTTTACCCAAGATGCCTCTGATAAGGGATAGCCCTTTCACTTGATTAGGTATTGGAGCTGTCTCCTGTGCCATCTCAAGTCAAGGATTCGTTGCGCCTCATAATAGGTTTGGCCCCCTATGACCACTGTGTCCAGGGGCTCACGGGGTAGTGGTTTCAGGGTTGACCTGACCACGGGTTTTAAGAACTTGCTATGGAATATTAGGTGTATCTTCCCTAACAGTCAGGGCAATTTTAATTGCACCCTGACCGGGTTGGTAATCTTCACTATGGGGAATGGCCCCATGAACTTGGGTCCCAGCTTCTTACTGGGGAGTTTTAACCTCAAGTATTTTGTGGAGAGGTAGACCTTTCCCCCCCCAGCTGGAATGGTCATTGTGGGGCTCAGTGTTTGTCTGCCTGTTTCTTATAGGTCTGTGACAGTAGTGGGTTTCAAATCCCATTGCTACCAGTTTGCTCGTGGGCGTGCACATGCTTGCGTGCATACGAGACACTTCTGTGCATGCGCAGAAGCTTCTGTGCATGTGCAGAGACATCTGGGCAGGTGGGCAGAGCCTCCCACTGCTGCGCTACTGATTCGCCCAATCTGGGGCAAACCAATAGCAACCCACCACTGGTCTGCAATGTTTTAGCTAGCGCCTTCTTGATATTTTCCCATGCTGCTTTTAGCATAAACAGCCAGTCTGTCAAGCTAATTGAGGAGGGGGGATCCCTTGGGTATTCTGGCATTGGGACGAAGTCCATGCCCCTCATTTTGAATAGGGTTAGCCCCTTGCTACTGTGAACAGCATTATTGTACGTGACCTCGGCGAAAGGCAAGAGGTCCGCCCAATTGGACTGCTGATAGTTGCTGCCAGATGAAAATCTGAGCTAAGGCCCTGGGATGACCCAATAGACCACAGGAACTCCCTCCAGAACTTAGCCGTGAACTGGACCCCTCTGATTGAGATTATTCTTCATGGTACTCCATGCAGACAATAGATATGTTTCAGGACCAGTTTAGCTAACTGGTGGGCTGGGGGTAGTCCAATGCAGGGTATGAAGTGTGCCTGCTTGGAGAATAAGTCAATCACAGTCCAGATCACCGTGTTCCCCCAACTCTTTGGCAACTCCACTATAAAGTCCATTGTGATTTTCTCCCATGGCCTTGTTGACTCTGCCACCGGTTGTAGCAGTTGGGGGGGGGGCGGTTTCCTGGTCTTTTTTTTCATTGTGGTGCAGATGGTGCAACTTTTCACATAACTTCCATGTTTTTCTTTATGCTGACCCACCAGAATTGCCTCCACGCTAAGTGTAAAGTCTTTAGGAACATTAGTCATCTAGCTCTAGTTTCACTGGTTCAGTCAGATGGAGGGCTTTTGGGGACATGTTGGTGGCACACCTGGAGCCTCATTCTGGTCGCACCCTGGGGGGTAGCTCTGGCTTGGGTTTTGGAGTTAGGGTTGCGCATGCCAAGGCAATGCGGCCCATCCCTCTGCATCTGTAGCATTTCATGTAGCTTCGTGGTAGAGTTTGTTTTGGGGCCGGCTGTGCTGCTGTGACCTCCCATCGGTGGATGGCCTCTGGTCTGATTGGCCTCCCTCCTTGGTGTCTGGTTGCTTCCGCATGTCGTTGGTGCGCAATCCATAGTCAACTTTTATGGCCACTCAGAACCACTCAGAGAGCTGATTTGGAATGTCCCTATAGGCGGTTACTTGGGCAATTTGCTTGCCCAGGTTCACTCTGAAAAAGTGACCTAATAGCCGCTCTGGCAAAGGGGGTAGCTTCCCCATGACTCTCCTGTATTTAAAAAAGAATAAAAATGGAGAATAAAAAGGAGAGTAAAGCTCAAAGCTGCTGCTCACTGTCACCATCTTGGGCTCTCTCTTCTGTCAGGATTCCATATTTAATAAATGTGAAAGCTGAACCACTGCCTTTAAGGATATGATATATTGCCAGCAGCCTGTTGTTATCGTTCTCAGAATGGGATTTCTTTAGACTTGTGATAAACATGACTTTCTTGAAAGGAGATTAGTAGTAGAATTACTGTATTTGTAAAAAAAAAAAAAAAAAAAAAGGTTCTTCTTTCCCCTTCCTTCCTGCCTTTCCAGCTTTTTAATTTTTCTTTTATGAAACTAATGTTGAGTAGTTAAAATTAGTGGGTTGAAATTACCTAACTTGGTTTACAAAATAAAGGGGAGCTGAAGTATCAGTGATGGAAACATCAATAGACAAGAATCACAATGTCTTTTTATACACATTTGGTAGTACAATTTGGATATATCTCATAATTTGCCTGCAAAAAATGCAAAATTTAATCCAAAGACCAAGATTGATGTTTAAAGCTCTGAGAAGCTATAAAGTTACTGTCAGTCAGTAGGAATAAATTCGAACTAAATAGACCAATATTTTGAGATAACATAGAAATAAGGCAAGCTCCAATGTCTAGAAAGGTAATGTTCACAATAGCACTTGATTGGTTTAATTAAAAATATTAAATACAATTTATGCACAATTACTGTGTTTCCCAAAAATAGGACATGTCCCGAAAATAAGGCCAAGCCTGATTTTTGGAGTGGGCATAAATATATGCCCTCCCCCCAAAATAAGCCCTCCAGTAGCCATTTTTGCCATGGATTGCGGCTACTTCTGCAGCAGGAGGCCAAGTGATGCACCCCATGTGCCTTGCAGTGGCCTTCCGAAAGGTACTGTAGCAGCAGCTATCCCCAATTTTTTTACCCTTATTTCCTCCCGACCGTACTGAGCCAAGTGGGTTGGGACAAAATAAGGGTTAACAAATTGTGGATAGCTGCTGCTATGGTATTCTTTGGAAGGCCGGCACAAGGCGCGAGTCTCCTGCTGCAGAAGTGGCTGCACCTGAGGAGTGCTTTTGGGAGAGAAAGCAAAGGGGAAGCGATTGCTTGCAAACTCCCGCCCTGCTCCCACCTCTCTGCTGGGCAACACCCGGCAGTCCCAGACACCCAAACCCCATGCCCTCCTGGCTCCCTTTTCCACAGTGCCTGGCTCTTTATTGAGGGGGGTGGGGGAGAAGTGAGACGCATGGAGCAAGACAGGGCTCACTCTTCTTGCCGTCTCTTCTCCCCCTCTCGCTGGGCATGGCAGGGCTTCCTGTCCCTGCCCAAATTGGGTGCAATTTGGGGGTGGCAAGTGGGGAGGAGTGGGGCTGGGGAGATGTGAAATGTGTCTTACCTGCCTTGTAGCTCCGTCGCATGTCTTGCCCTTGTCTGCAGGCAAACACATTGTAGGGTAAAAGAAAACTCGTGAGTTCAATCAAACTTCTCGAACTCACAAGGAGTTTGCAGGTGAGGGGGATGGATGGATGGATGGATGGGAGGTGAGCAAGTGCCAAGAACGCTGGGGAGTTTCCCACCTTTGGTTGCCCCAGCGAACAGCTGATGAGCGGCTGTGTTGCGCAGCCAGAGCAGCACAACACAGCTGAAGCCATAAAGTGGCCACACTCGCTGTCTCCTGCACCCCCAAAATAATAAGACACCCCTGATAATAAGGCCAAGCCTTTATTTCGGGGTTCAACAAATATAAGACAGGATCTTATTTTTGGGGTATGCATGCAGCTTCATATAAAATATGCTGTCTTCCAATTTTCATCCCATATTTTTATATTTCATAGGGAGGCAATTTGACTGGGGGTTTAAGGTGCTGGCCTAGAAAATAGGAGACTTGAGTTCTAATCTCACTTTAGCCATGAAAGTCAGCTAGGTGACTTTGGGCCAGTCATTCTCTCTCAGCCCAATCTACTTTACAGGTTTATTGTTGTGGGGAAATAGGAGGAGTGAGGAGTATTATGTGCGCTGCCTTGAGTTACTTACAAAGTAATAAAGGCAGGGTAAAAAAAAAATCTAATAAGAATAAATAATAAAATAAAATTTCCAAGTAATAATGATAATTGATGCAAATGCAACTGTTGTTTCAAATGCTAGTAAAATATGTAATACAATGTAAAACAGATGGTTTTACAGAATAATTTTTAATACAGAAAATTAATATACTTTATAACAAAAGAGGGTTTGATGTCTGACTCGTAAGCAGGAAGTGACTCATTGTGTCAGCAGGGAAGTATTTCACAGAGGTGGGGCTGGAAATACTGCAGAATTTCTCCCTGCACTATAACCCATTGAAGGCAGCCATGGGAATTCCTTACTCTCTGGGAGGTTTTATGATACCAGACTCTATAATATATAGCCATTCTATTATTGGATATCATTTCTTAATGATATCCAATTAAGATCAGCTGACCCTTTATAAGTGTGGGGGACTTCAGTGGAAAATATAGGTAGTCCAAGGAAAAAGCAGCACAAATGATTCTGAAAGTGATCTCAGTAAGTCAGAAATAAATGCTAGATCACTGTGAACATTGTGATCCTGGCAGTTGATTCTACTGCACTTTTTTGGAGCAAACAGAAGTGAAATAAGAAAACATCCCATGGTGATAATGCTTTGGTGTGCAAATCATAAAAATATAATTAAAAGTATTTATTTATTTAATAAAAACTGAATATTATGATATAGCATACACTATGTTCATATGATATTCATATCATTATTATTATGATATTCATTTGTACCAAAGTTTTGTCCTTTGCATCCGTAATTTCTTTCCAAAGAAAAGTCTTTTTTTCACCATATTCCAAAAGTGTATGCATGGTAAATTATCTGTAGGTAATTTTCAACAATATGCCACCCCCCACCCCCCAAAACATTTAGGCATGCCTAATTTATGGGGCCAGGCAATCTCTCTCTTACTTTCCCACACATGACAACAAGTGGCTTTGGTTCTTTGGATGTCACTTCTCTGATTCACAAAGTGGTCCCCCTTTCCTTCTCCCATCTTGCCATGGGTGCCATTTCTTGGGCACTAGT